TGAGCATGAAGCACCCACTCATATATATATAGATAGATAGATACAGATATACTGTAAAGCATTCTCCGAAAGAGGGAGAAACAGTAACACTAACTGTCCTGGCTCAAATTATCTTATTTCAACCTTCTTGTCATATTGTTCTTTCATGACGCCTCAAGCATTCAACTAACTTTTCAGGGCAAAATCACAAACATTCAGTGGTCTCTCTTTACACTAACAGCACCAGGCCCTATTGTAGGGGTTTGGAGGTAAATTACATTCTTTTTACTAGTTTATTCATCCTATTATTATGACTTTATACTTTATAAGTGTGTTAGCATTCAATGAAAGATGTAGAAATTGTATTAATCAATTATGGCAGAAGCAACAACAATAGTTTTTTTCTCCAGAAGTATTCATTCAGTAAACAAATTCCAACAAAAAGGGCAAGGCCGCAGCGACAAAATACATATGTGTGTGTGTGTGTGTGTGTGTGTGTGTATAAATGAATATATATATATATATATATATATATATATATATATATATATATATATATATTTATATTTATATATATATATATATATATATATATATATATATATATATATTTATATATATATTTATATATATACATATATATGTGTGTGTTTGTGTGTGTTTGTGTGCGTGTGTGTGTGTGTATGCTTTCGTATATACATGCTTAGCTACATTCTTTTTGTAACGATAATGGTAATATTTTTTTGTTAGTAACGATTTTAGTGATGAAGTCCCCTTTTTCAATTTTCGCTCGTTAGTCGATACTCGCACCTTTGTGAATTTGGAAGCATAGATTGGGCTACCTTGCAGTAACCTTTTCGTCTGACAGCTGATTTCTCTAAGATTACGCAACCTATCCGTGTCCAGAAATTAAGAAATGCCTCAGAAAATTCGGATGCTGAGCAAATGTCCATTTGTTGCATGAAGCCTTTCAAGCATTCAGTCATTTCTTGTATAGTACAGCATAAAAACAGTTCTTTCAAATGCAGAAGTG